TGTTGGCTCTGCCAGCCCCTTGGAGCTACTCCCAAGAGCTGCTCTGCTGCCACTCTTCCAATCTCACTGCAACACAAATCCCAGGTGGGGCAGGAGGGCACTTTTGGGACAAGTAGACTTTAAGCTCCAGCTTCAGGGAATGGAAACCTTTGTGTCTGGGCTCCAAATGTGGTGGAACAAGATTAATTAATTTAGCTGCATCACATGAAGAGTGCCAGTGTTTACTTGTGAGACCACAGAGGAGCTTTTGCAGTACCCAGAGAGGCCTCCTGGATGGGCTGGGAGCTCTTGATTGCAAGGCAGGAGATGCCCAAGGAGAACTCAGCTGCATAAAAGCAATGCTGAGAGAGAGGAAGAGATTCAAGAGGCCCCCAGCAGAGACAAGCTGCAGGCACCACACACAAACTGAGGCATTCCATCACATTTCTGCAGATCAGGTGAAGCTGTCCAGGGGCTTCTGCAAGGATGGAGGAGTCTGTCAAGGCTGGATGCTGTTGGTGGGATGAGCCAGACTGGAGGGCTGCTAGGAAAGCAAGTGAGGTGGGAAGAAATGTGGATGTTGTATGCGGGGCTGATTGCTTCATTTCACAGCTGAAAACACTGAGGAATATGACAGACCCAGAGCAGAGCCCAGGAGATGAGCAGGACAATGCAGGGGACAACACTCACAGACAGATCTTAATGGATGAGACGGACCAGGAGGGAAGAGCTCATTAGAAAAGGGCACTGCATGGTGAAGGGAGGACAGGATGTAAGCAGTGTGAAAGCTGATAAAAGACAGAAATGGAAATCTTTTCATCCCCAAGAAAGCAAGGATGGGGTGCATTAATGAGCTCTTTAATGGCAAGGCAAGTAAAGGTGAGCAGCAAATGGCTATTGCCAGACAGCTGAGCTGAGTGTGAAAAAACAGATGTTGGTGGGATGTGAGAAGCAATCGAGCTCTTACAGGAACAACAGCACAACCCTGTGATTAACATTCCCACTGAATTATTGAAAAGGCACACACAAACTTGGAGACTTGGCAGGCTCCTCTGGTTACTCTGCAGGGACAGGGAGGTTGCAGAGGGATGGATATGGGCAGGTTCACATCCAATTTGAACCAAAAAAAGGGCAGCAAAACTGAAGTAAAAACTGACATCCTGCTTGGCTACTCCCCACATGATGAAAATCCACATCCCTGGCACTTCTGTGTCTTCTTATTCCTTACACAAAAGAAACTGGCTGTGCTAAAAATAGCCCAATGCAGTGCACGCTGGCTTCCATCACCCTCATCGATCTGCGCTCCTGGGTCCAGTCCAGCCATGCTGCATCCCATCCCATCCCACCCCACCCCATCCCATCCCACCCCATCCCATCCCATCCCATCCCATCCCATCCCATCCCATCCCATCCCATCCCATCCCATCCCATCCCATCCCATCCCATCCCATCCCATCCCATCCCATCCCATCCCATCCCATCCCATCCCATCCCATCCCATCCCATCCCATCCCATCCCATCCCATCCCATCCCATCCCATCCCATCCCATCCCATCCCACCCCACCCAGCTCTGAAGATGGAGGCAGCCCCCAGCTCCCCTCTCAAGTGCTTTGCTGCATCGGGGGGAGCTGGGCAGGCACTGCCTGTCACCACTGCCACCCTGTGCTGCTCCACCTTCTGTCTGTGAACGTGGCCTTTCCCACAGGCCATGCTTTGGAACAGATGGACACACCTCATGTGCACACCAGGGCTGGCAGGTGCCCTCAGGAATCCCAGGCTTAAATGGTGCATTTCTATATGAAGGGATGTTTCGGTCCTAATTTACAGTTTTTAAAATAATATCCAGGCTCTGAATGCCACACAGGCTTTGTAACACATGGCAGGGTCCTTTGTTGACTCTGGGCCAGAGTAAGGACTGAACCATGGGTAATGTGGGCTTGGATTTACTCTCCTGTCCTTGCTGGGGTGTAGGGGGATGGATCAGACGAAGAATTTTTAGTGCTGCCTTGGTTTTGCCCTTGAAGACAGGTTGTTGAGACAACAGCAGTTTTGTGGACACAGAAAGGGCATCAGCAGAATGCATTTCCACATGGCCCCAGGGCTATGAGTGTACTGCAGGGAACTGTGATTTTTTTTCCCCTAGCCTCCCCTCCTCTTCACTCCAACATGTCTTTCCTGTGCCCTTTCTGCTGCATGGGGAGCCCTCTTGCTTTGGAGTTTGGGGCAGCAGGAGCAGCCTGGCTGCACAAGGCATCACTTCTCTTTACAGAAGCAGCTTGAGAGCTTTGGTGGTTGAACAGGAGACAAAAAAAAGAACAAAAACACCCAGCAAGGTGATGAAATCCCCGCTCTGTCCCCAGAGGGGTCTGTAAAGCAGCCTTGGAGGGATGGAAGCTGCTGTGGAGCTCTCCAGGCCCTGTGCAGAGCCAGCCCTGGAGCTCCTCCATGGAGTGCTGGCCTTGGGGACAGTGGAACCTCTTCCCTTTTCTTGTCCGGCTTTTTTCACAGCTCATTTTATGGCATCTCCTGCCAAGGGATGTGGACCATGGCTGCCAGGACTGCACCTTGTTTTGGAGGGAGGGCAAGGGGCTGGAAGGTGCTCAGCAGCCCAGGAGCCATCTGGAGACCTGTGGTGAGGCCCCACCAACAATGGGGTACTGGGTGATGCCTTAAAGATACCTTGGAGGTAGAAAGGCCTAGACTTTTTCTAATTCTCCTTTTTTTCCAGTTGCAGACCATTTGTATGTGGGAGTGTTTAATTTAGAAAGGCCAGCACTGCTGTATCACATTCCTCTGTCGGTCTCTGTTGGTTTATCACCAGTGAAATCCTGGTGTGAAAACAGAATCAGGCTTTGATTTCATCTGCCCCTGCTGTTTTACACCACTAACAGCTTTGCATTTCGATAGCAGCTTTTATTCTAGGAGCTAAATGGGCTTCACAGACAGCCAATTAATTAATTGAGCCTCCCCAGCCAGCCTGTGCCCTCAATGCCACAAGGAAGCATTTGCAGAGGAGGAAACAGAGGCAGAGGAGCAAAATTATTTGCCCCAGCTAAAGAGCTGAGCTGGCTGCTGCCTCTGCAGCAAGGCCTCACACTGCACTGGCTGGGCCATTGCTCCCAGTCCCGTGGAGATGGTCCTGATGCCATTTCCAAACTGGTGTGGGAATGGTCTCGATGCAGAGATCAGCTGAGGAAGTTCTTTGGGTGTCTATCAGTGACTGTCAACACTGGAATATCTGAGCCCAGATTAACTCATGAGCTGCCATCACTTTGGACCACCCCAGCCTCTTGATAAGGAATCCTGTGAGATCATAAAACAGTATCAGGAGGCCCCACTACTGTTTCCATCATCCATTCTTGCTGACCAACTCTTATTTCTCCTGATTGAGACCTTGAGCAACATGATTTAGTGAGTGGCCTCCCCGCCCATGGCTGGGGAGTTAGAACTAAATGATGATGACTTTTTATTTTATAATCCTAGATGATTTTTAAGGTCCCTTCCAACCCAAACCATTCTATGGTGCTATGAGGAGCTTGGCACTCAGGGTTTGCAAAAAAAGGCTGTTTGAGCTGTTTTGCTTTGGATCAGGTGCTGGAGCTGAGATCTGGGGAGGAACTTGCTGTGAAGGCACTAAACAAGAGAGGGGTGACCCTTAGCTCCCCCCTCCAGGTCCTGTTCACTGCCTGGTGAGCAGGACACAGCCCTGGGAAGCTGCATGCTGTGGGCAGGATCTGGGGCACCTGGAGGAGGTGGAGCAAGAGTGAATGCCTTCCTGGAGAAATTACCTGCCTTTTATTATGAAATCCTGCTAATGGTTTGTTGTCTACACAAATAACCACGGGGAATGAACTCGTGCACTTCCCAGCCTGCTCTGTGTCTTCCTGGCTCAGCTCCTTTCTGAACAAACATAACCTTTTGCAAGAATACCTGTCAAAATCACTTTGAAATATTGAAATAACAGGATGGGATATGGTTTGCTCCTGGGCCCTAGTGCTCATCCATCAGGACTTAGGATGTCCATCCAAAGCGACTTGTGAGCAGGATGCAAGGGGAAAATCTCTGGCAAGCAGCGGGGCCTCACAGGGCTGCATTTGGGGAGCTTAGCACCTCACCTCACTGTGCTGGCTCCCACACACTCACCTGGGAGCAGGGCAGCTCTCAGAGCCTCACGAAGCCTTCACTTTTTTGTTGGTCATGGCTGGGTAAGGCACAGGGGCTTGGGACTCAGCTGGAGCTGACAGGACAAAGTAGTGTCCTTTGGCCTCCAGTGTGGTTTGGAAGTGCCTTCATGGCCTCAACATCTCCCTTTTCATCTCATGTGAGTATTTCAGAGTTGGAGTCTTGGAGCAGTACTGGACAGCAGTCGTTGAGGGGCACGTGGCTGCTTGGGTAGACCCATGTACACGGAGCTATCCCCTTCTCCTCCAGTCTCAGAGTGCCAAGGGCTGGTCAGGGGCTCCCCAGGGTGTCTCAGTATGGGGCAGGCTGTAAATGCTGAGTGTCTTTTACCTCAAAAGCAAAATCAGCCTCCTTTCTCTCCTTTTCCACAGAGCAGCATGAGGCTTTGTGCTCTAACTCATCACTGCCTCCCCATCCTGAAAGAGGGGGGATAATCCACCCCTCAGTGGCTGGTCCCAAGGGCCCCCACTGCCCAGACAGAGTTTAGGGGCAGAGACCAATTTGCAGGAGAAATCCCACTGCATGGTGCCACCTGCTCAGCCAAGAGCCCTTCACTTCTCATCCCCTTCCCAGTTCCTGGTGGTGATGGTCTCCCACCTGGAATAAGGTGTGGGATTCTATTTTCCTGGGTACGAGCCTGTTTTCTTCAATGTGCTTGGGAGTGATGAGAACTTGGACACAGTCAATTGGTGGAAGAAATCAAAACAAAACACTTAGAATTCCAACACTCCCCGCCCCCAAACATATTCCATCAACCAACCAACCAACAAAAAAGTTCTTCAAATAAAACTCCATATCTTTCTCTAAAATCCATGATTAAAACCTGGTACAAACAGGTGAATATAGATATATATATATATTTTTTTTAGTAGATGTAGTATTGTTTTTTTCTCCTCTCTCTTTCTCATTATACAGCAAACATTGCAAATATAGAAATTTTCTCTGTACAATTAACGACTTCGGTTTACAATGCAATGTGTGGCAAAACCTCTTAGTGAGTGAAAATGTGAACGGGCCTTCAACCGGGTAAAAGTCTAAACTGGAAGACTCCGTTTGCAAAAACAGCCCAAAAGATGGAGCTCCTTCCGGTCTCTTTTTGGTTTTTGTTGCTGTTTTTGTCGCTGTTGATTTTGGAAGGGAAGGAAGGAAGAATACAAACTGTTCACAAAGAATCCACAAAATCACGGAATAGGGACTCATGCAATGCAATATTGGAAAACGCCAGACCTCAGCTCTCTGCCCGCTCTTTCATTTCCATTTTATATTCAATTTTTTCTTTTTTCTTATATTTTTTTTAAAAAATCAAAATTAAACAAAACTTTTTTTTTCCCCCACTCCACAGTTTGTTTGTTTGCAAAGTTTGTGTTCAAATTTGGTGCACGTCTCACCAACGTGAGGACATTTTAATATCTCACTGTATATATTATATAGAATATTTATAGATTTTTCATTATTTGTTCTCTCTTTTAATTTTTTATTGATTCTCTTTTTTTTTTTTTTTTTAAATTTTATTTTGTTTCAAAGACAGTCTGAATAAAAATAGCTGCTGCGGATTTCTTTTGGTCCAGTTAGTGTGTTAAGTCATGAGTTGTGTGAGGACTCAGGACTTTTGCTGGGCAGAGACGCCCTTCCAGTAGTCTAAGATGTCGTGAAGATCCTCGTCTTTGGCAAACTGGACCTTTTTGCGTAGGGCATGGCCGGCTGCCATGTACTCCTCCTCGTCTTTGTGCCGCTTGCGGTTGAGTTTGAAGCGCTCCCAGATGCTGTGCGATGGTTTGCAGGTGTACTCTGGGCTGGAGGTGTAGCTCAGGTTGTGGTACTGGGGCGAGAGCTGGGAGTAGGCCAGGTCTCTGGGGCGAGGACGGGTCAGAGGCTCCAGGATGGAGGGTTTCCGCCCGCCCATGCTGTCGTGCTGCTCCCCTGGGTGCGAGCTGGGGTACGAGTGCCGGTGCTCGCTGTACTGGCGGATCTTCTCCGCCTCTGCCCGCAGGATGGCTGCGGCCGGTGTCACAGTGAGGATGGTGTCGGTGGTGGGGGATGTCTTCTCAATGTATTTGGCTTCGGATTTGTGGCCCGATCCCTCGGAGCGGTAGGACCTGGGGCTCCGTATGGAGCCACTGGAAGAGGTGCTGGAGCGTTTGGGGGCCGCCTCCATGCTGTGGTGTCGCTGGAGAGGGTGGTTGTAGCTTTCCTTGTAGACGGGGGAAAGGAATCCGTGCTTGCTGGGGATCTGCTCTGACAAGAGCACCAGCTGAGGCTCCACGGTGGAGACTGCCCCCGACTTCACCCCTTGGAAGGAGGTGGACTCAGATTTCAAGGCATCGATGCAGTTGTTGATGATCTGGTTCACCTTGTCCACCTCCTTGGCAATGGTGGAGATCTCAGCCACAGAGCCCTGCGTGTCTGGCGGCAGGGACAGCTCACAGTCTCTCCTCTCAGGCTGCTCACCCGTCCTCACCTCCATGTAGTTGCCCTTGGTGGCCTTAGGGGTCTCGCTGCTCTCAATCAGCTTGTACTGCTCCACCTCGCCAGCAGAAGGTAGGTAGGGGATGCGGGTCACTGTCTCCCCACCCAGTATCTGCCCCTGGGACAGCTGGGTGATGCTGGTGGTCTCCATTTCTGGCCCATACTTCAGCTCGATGATGGTTTTCTTCATGCTGCCGGCAGCCTTTTTGTGCTTCTCCTCCTGCTGGCGCCTCTTCCGCAGGCAGTAATACACCACCCCCAGGACAATCACCATGCCAAAGAGACAACCCAGGATTGTCATGATATAATGGGTGGCAGTGGAAGGGGTGGGCACCGGCTCCTTGCGGTTGGGTCTGGTGGGGGTGATGGTGACGCAGGTGTGGTTGTACTTGGAGTACTGGTGAACAGAGACTACACAGTAGGTGTAATCTCTTTGTGCTACTAAGTTGCTCACGGTGATGTTCTCCTCCTTCTTCCTGAGCTTGGTGATCATGGAGGAGAAGCCATTTTCGAACTGGGAGAGGATGTACATCTTGCTGAAGGGGTAGGGAATCTGCACGGTGAGGACGGCCGAGTTGTGGTTGAGGTGCTTCACCTGGATGTTGGGGCGCACCTCCGTCTCACCGATGGGCGTGAACAGGGAGAACTGCGGCGTCGTGCCGTCGCCGGAGGAGCACTCCTCCTCGGAGCAGGGGCTTTCGGAGGGCACCGTGGTCACCTGGTACCTGGGAGGGATAAAACGAGGGATCACAGTGTAGGAGCCACCAGTGCAAAGGGACGAGAGCATGCTCAGAGCATTGCGGTAGCCAGTCCGGCCTTGGCCTAACAAGTAGTAGCCCATGTAGTCGGGTGGGGAGTCGCACTGCATCCGGTCGTAGGTGCGTGTCATGTTGGTGAAAGCCTCCAGCCATTGCAGGAAGCCGAGGAGCTCGCAGGAGCAGTAGAAGGGGTTACTGTAGAGTTCACAGACAGAGAGCTTGTTTAGGCCCCGAAAAGTGTTGCTGTCCAGTCTCTGGATCCTGTTCATGGACAGGTCAATGTTCACTATGTTGGGGCACTCCCAGAAGGCATTGGGGGTGACAGTCTCGATGAGGTTGGCCTGGAGATAGAGGTACTCCAGCTTCCCCAGGCCCCGGAGGATGCCCTCGGTGAGGTTCCTCAGTCGGTTGTAACCCAGCTGCAGCACCTGGAGGTTGAACTGTCCTGAAAAGGCACCGTCCTCGATGTAGGAGATCTCGTTCTTCGTCAGGTTGAGGTATGTCAGGTTGCCGAAGCGGCTGAGCGAGGCGTACTGCACGCTCTTGATCTTGTTGTCGTTCAGCCGCAAGTCCACGATGGTGCTGTTGATCTGCTGGGGGATGGACTCGTAGGGGGGCTGGTTTTGGCTGCAGATGGCCAACCAGACGAAGCCCTTGTCCCCCTCGATGAGCCAGCAGTCTGCCCGCACCCCGCCGGCGTGCAGGAGAGACACGGCCGCCACGCACACGCAGAGGGCTGACGTCGCGGCCCACCGGCGACCTGCCATCTGGAAGGGCAGCACGGAGAAGGGGCTCCTGGTCTGCTGGAAGCGGGGAACAGGACAGGGGCCGGCAAGGTGTGGGCTAGTGCTCCTTCGGAAGCTTTGCTTGCCTCTCCCTTCTCCTCATGGCTCAGAGACGGGAGGGAAGCGTCCGTGGAGAAAGCAGACCTCGGTGCCCACGGTACGCGGCAGCCAGCAGCCAGGGGCTGCTACCAAGGCCTTGGTGGTTGAGGCTGGTCCCACATCACCAGGCCTCTGGCATCTCGAGGAGGGAGTCATGAAGTTAAGCGCCTGTGCAGAGGAGTTGTTCAGGCTTAGAGACAAGCCTTCCTCTCATTTTTTATAGTACTTCTCCTTGTTTTCTTTTTGCTGCACATCGTGGCGCTGGTCCCCATCTCCCTGTGCCTCTGTGTGTTCAGCTGTCCCCTCTCAGTCCCCCGGCTCACCTGCTCAAAACAAAACACAAGCACAAATTAAGCACAAAGGAAAGGCAGTCAGCACTCAGAGGTGCTGGAGATCCATCCAACTCCCCTGTTAGTTAGGCATGCACCTTCCCATTCTGGCAACCAGCTTTCAAGGAGCCTTTGGCTTGTTTGGCTGCCACCTGCACTGTTTGGCAGCACAAGGAGAGGAAGTCACTGACCACCGAGGTCACCCTCTGAGCCCTTGTCCAGCATCACTTTTTTGGCAGTTGAGAGACCAACACACATCCAGCACACCGTTTGTCTGACCTATTTAGGTGTCTACCTGAGGAGGAGAGGAGTGATGCCCCAGAAGTGTCTGTTCCTCTCCGCTGAGAGCAGACGAAGTCTAGACAACTCGCTCTGATGTAGATTTGATGCTGCAGCGTCTTGCTGAGGGGAATCCTGGCTGTCTCATGTGCTGGTGTGCGCAGCAGCAGTGCCCACACAAGGGGTGCTGCTCGAGGACACCGTGTCTCTCTGCCTGCACTGCCATGCAGCATCTGAGCTACAGCGCAGCATCAGATGCTTATCCTGTTTCTGGGAACCTTTGCAAAACCCACTGGTGTGATTGTGAACCACCCAGTGCCCTTGTCCCTGCTGGGGGCTTGTTGCCTTTCTCCAAGGCTCTCCCTCCCAGGTGAAATGGTTCAGAGGTGTGGAAAACCAGCAAACATTCAGTGGCATAACAAGAGCATTTGCAGAAGATGGGACAAGACTCTCCCTCCCCAGCCAGAAACAGCTGTTTGAAGACTAGGAAAAGCCTTCACTAGAAACAAACCTGTGAGACTTCCAGCAGCCACACTCCCCACAAAGAAACTAATTTCTGGCTCACATTTTCCATTTTTTTCCCCCTAAATTTTTTACTAAGCATAAATTTCCATGGACAGCTCTTAACTTCTTTTTGTGATTTCTTAGGGAAACAGGAAGGCAAAAGTGGAGAGGTGGGAAATGCATGACCACCAGCATCTCCTGGGTCATGCTTTTCCACAAGATATTGAAAACATCATCTGTGGATATCTCTACTGCCAAACAGAACTTTGGGCTGGTAGCACGGATGCAGTAAGATGCTGTAGCAAAGATGGAGTTGCCCACAAATGGAGAGAAATCATCATGGCCTATCTAGAGAAATCCTTCTTTGAACTTTTTTGGGAAAGGGAACACTGTTTGTCTCCCTTGTCCAAGGGCAGACTGTAGAAGCCAGGGAAGACAGCACCAATACTCCTTGGAAACAGAGCTGGTTAGAGCAGCAGATTTCTTGGGAAGTTGTGAAGGATATGGGGCCACATCTTACATCCAAATGTTCTTTCATTAAATCTGAAAAAAATTATAAACCCAGAAACAGTTTTCCAGACCATTTTACAGTGCCCAGGCTGGACTGCTCTTGGTGCTACATACCTGAAAATTGTGTGGAGCTGATTGTTTAGAGGCAGATGTATACTCTGACCCTTGTCCCAGAGAAACAGGGTCTTTTCCAGCCACAATACCAGGCAGGGAAGGAGAGCATATTTCACTGCAGAGACCCCTGTCCACCATTCAGTTTATACCTTGGAAAACAGGCCAGTATTAATACGCAGTAAAACAGTTTATTTGGTTGGATTGTGAACAATGAGTCTGTTCCCTGGTGACAGTTATGTTTCCATCACATGAATGATGAGACCTTCTCTCACATCAGCTCTCTGCACATGAGACTTTCCAGCCACCTTTTCCCTGAGATGCTCTGCCAGCACCTGGAAGTCCATTTGAACATGGCTGAGTCCTCGGAGCCAGCGAGGAAGGGAAGTGGGGCTGTGCTCCCTGGCAGATTGCAGGTGAGTGCCCCCCCTTGCCACCCCCATGGGCTGCAGTGCCAGACTGAAACACGGCTGCTGCTGCATCCCTCCGGTGTTAGAAAACTCAATTAACCTCTCTGCTCTCCAGCCTCCTCTCTGGTACCGTGAGATAATGACAGCACTTCATGGGGTGGTGGGAGAGTGAAGCAAAGTGCCCCGAGCTCCTCTTGCTGGGGTGACAATCCCAGCACATGCACTGTGTTGCAGGTGGAGACTCTCCCTCTAGGAGTGCCAGCTCTCCTCTGCCACAGGGAGCAGCCTGGTGTCCAGCTCCTCCTGCATGCTGTGGGGATGTGCATTGCCCCTAAGGGTGTGGGATGAGGGCATTCCTGGCCTGCAGAGCCATAGCAATGGCTTGCTCCAGTTGTCCCTTTGGGGTGGCACTTGATTCCAGCATCTCCCTGTCCTCCTCCATGGACTTGTGGGTTCCTGCAGGCAAGGGAAGCCCTGCCAAGCCGAGCACAGGCAGCAGGAAGGGATGCACTTGGCATATTCTCTTCAGCAAGCATTTGTTCAGTCCCCCCTGTCTCCCATTGTGACCCAACCACCCTGTCTGGGCAAACTTGTGTTTGGGAAGGCTCTGCAGAGCCAGACCAGCCTTTTTCTTGCAGAGGAATGTTCTTGTCACTGCTCCCTGGGGAAAGGCTGTGGGCAGAGGGCATTAGTGGAGTGGGACTATCCATGAGCAAGGAGCAGAGACAGACTCCCCACAGATCCTGCCAGGCTGATCCCCTGTAGCCTTCCCCTATAGCACCTTTGTGCTTCCCCCATCTAATTGGAGGTGTTGAGGATGAAGAAGAGCAGCAGGAAATGACTCAAACACGTTTAGTAAGTGTCCCACTGTATGTTTTCTCTTATTTTCCATACATTGCCTATCAGCCCAACAACAGAAAGGAGAAATGGCATTTTATCAGCAGCCTGAGTTTAATTTCAGCTCATTAAAGCAAGCAATTTGCTGGTTTATTTGCTTTACAAAGTGTGAATAAAATGACAGCATTAAGGAGATGTGAGAGAGGAAAGAGGGGCTAATCTCCCTTTTTATTAGATTCTCGGGACTTGACTGGTGAGTGGAGAAGTGGGTCTTGTTGCTTTGCACAAAAGGCATAATTGCTCATCTTGCTGGCTTCTGAGAGCCTCCATCCCAGCCCGTGGTGGGTGTGGGGGTGTGCCCAAGCAACACCAGCACCAAGCATCCCACAAGGGTCCGTGGTTTAACTCTCCTGCCTGCTTGATTCGCCTTTGCCCAGCTGTCCCGAGTATATTCTCCTGGTAACACAATTGCACATCACTTTTTCCAGTCCTCTAAACCCCCACAGAGCTGAGAAAACCTGGGAATAAACCAGCAAAACTCTCACATGAAAAACAACCAGGAAAGTGGCATTTTGAGGGTCTCTTTTGCTGCTGGAGAATGAAGCAAAAGGTGGCAATGAAGATAGTGTGGAATAACAATAGAAATGTTTTGGAATGATTGGTTTAATCTCAGTCAGAATATCTTGAAGTGTGGCACCATGGTGACAATGACAACAGGCCACATCCATGACATGGTAGCCACCCAGGGAATTCCTGCACCATTCCTGCAGTTTCCTGGGCCCTGCAGACACTGCTGTAATTCCCTTTCCTTCTGCTCTCAGCAGGCAGAATGCTTTGACCAGCTGAGATGATGTTGGGTGCTTGTGCCTAACAGAGGCCAGCAAAGGGGCAATGACAACTCCCTCACCCCTTGCTCCTCCTGCACATTGCCTCTGATATCCAGTATCCATGCTGGAGCCCAGATCCATGCTTCTCCCTGCTAATCCTCAGCCCTGACTGTGATATGCTCCCCTCCTACCCATCTCTGCTTCTCCAGCCCTGGTCCCTGTCAGCAACCCAACAGCAAAGAGGGTGGCTGGAATTCTGAGGCTGCAGCCTGTGCCCTGATGAGCAGCAGCATCCTTATCCTGGCTGAAAACCCATAGCAAGGGAGGTGGAAAATAAAAGGAGAAGCTGGAGCTTCAAAAACAAGTGCAAACTGGCTGGGAAGTTTTTTGCTTCCATTTCCCAACTAATGGCATCTTGGAAAATTAAACCAGAGCAGCAGCTGCAAGGAAGCAAACAAAGCAGCTGTGGGGGCTGGGAAGAGAGCTGGCACTCAGTTCCTAATTTTGTTATTCTACTGAATGAGTTATTTCAAACTGTGGATTACATTTACGGAGGGAACACAAGATTACGCATGCGTGTGCGTGTGTAACACACAGCAGGGCTCCTCTCCTTGGCATTTCTGCATCTCCACAACTTCCTTTTCCCTAGCAGCTCCATCTCCAGCATCTCCTAGGTCCTCTTTCACAGCAGCTTGTGCTGTTTTATCAAAAAATTATCCCCACTTCAAAGAGAGCCAGAGGAAAATGGAAGTGGTACATTACAAGCATGAGTGTTTGGTCACCCAAACTGAAGGGGAGGGAAAATTTGGCTAACAGTAACCAGATTTTAAAGTGAACCTTGGTTTTTCATTATGTGTAAGATAATCTGGAGAGGCAGCTCCAAGATGGCAGATGAAACCTTTTATAGTGATGAAATCGCCTGTAAATAGCTAATGTCCATATGTAAGGTGGGGAAAGGAGGCTTCCAGGCAAGTTTTTCCCTCATTCATACTCCTGGTCTTTGCTCCATGACTCCTGCTGGGTGATGTTGGTCAGAATCAAAGCGTCCCTGGATAATAAAAACACTCAAGCCTGTAAAATTCAAGTTCATTTTATATCCAGTCGTCCTGGTCCCAATACCTTTCACTGACAGGGTTTAGGCAGCATTTTGTGCATCCCAACCTTATTCCCAAACACCTCACAGTGTTAGATACTAGAGTTCTGCAGTCAATTCTTCTCTCTCTCCTCTTACTTATTATTTACGAAAAACAGGAAGGGAGAAGAGGTATATTTTCCACTGAGGTTTGAGGAGAGATTAAGAAGGAAGAAAGCAGAGAGGTGAAGGGGAAGCTGAGGGAGAAGTGCTCAGCATTTCACCCAGGACGGCTTTTCCTGGGACTCTGGGAGGTCACAGACTGTATCACAAGTATCCAGGTGGGAGGGATGGCAAAGAGATAACTTTTCTGGGAGACACTGAGAGAAACAAGGACAAATCACATGGATATTAATATCATCAGCATGTCAACACTCTTGGGCTCTGTATGGTGTTGGGGCAAATCTCTCATTGGCTTATTCCTATCTTAACCTTGATTGAAAAAGTTATGCTCTTTACTGGAAGCTGATATTCAATCCCATTTAATTTAGCAGTAAACTTGGGTGCAGTAGTGCCTGAGGGAAACCCTAGTTCAAAGCCACTGTGCTTCCAGAAGCCAGGATGAGGCCAGAGCTGCAGCCTGGGAATGGCCAGAACAGACCTCCTTTGCACAAACATTTTTAAGAACCTATTTTCTATGGTAAGATAAATTCTGGTTTAAAACGACAACATTTTCAAGACAAACTGTTGGGATTTCAGAAAATAAGACTATTCTGTTGTTACTCAGCTGCAGTCTGAAATCATTTACATCCATCTCATGCTGCTTGGTTTCCAGGGTCTGTTGAGATGACAGCCCTATCTCATGCTGCTGTGGGCTGCTGAGCAGAAGCCTCTGCTGAGTTTAAATAAATGCATAAATGATTTTCTTGGTGAGCAACCTCTTAAGCCCAGCTGGGGCACCTGTGCATTAAACCAGCCTTCCAAAACATCAGCACGAGCGGCAGTGGAACATCAGCTCCAGCTCCTGACAGTGCAGTTGAGCCCTCAAGGAGCTGAGAAATGTGATGAGAGGGACAGAGTTAGGGGAAGGTGAAGAGGCAAAACATTTTAGGGAATGTAGAGAAGTAAGAGCTGTGATCAGGTACTACTCTAGCAATAAGACGTGTTTCCATGGGAGAAAGCCTCTCTGGTACTTTCTTGATGGGATTTTTCCTTAGAAATAATCAGTCTGAATCACAGCTTCATTATGGGATGGTTATGCTGATGGTAGGCTGGGGAAAAGCAGAGGTCTGGTGTGGAAGCAAGAGTCCCGTTTTCCCCTGTAAACAGTGCTGAACACCAAAGGATGTTTTTCCAGCACCAGTGCAATGAGGGAGCCAGCCCCACGCTGGGCAGTGGAGCTGCTGGTGCTCCCCAGCAGTGACAATCTGAGCTGAGCCTTGTCTCCCTGCATCGTCATCCTCACTCAGATCTTTGCTGCTGTTTGGAAAAGGGATTTACTGCTTTCATTCATGAATTTATTTTTGCAGGAAGCCTGCATAACCCTTTGCCTCCCAGATGGGAAAACCCACTTTTACATGGGGGACAATCTGGTGATGGATCTGTGAAATGGTGAGCTGTTAGAAATTATTTTTAGAGGTGCAAGTATCTTTTTTGCTCTGATATTTTTATGGTTGCATTTGCAGGAGAACACTTCCCCCTCTGTCCTGCCCTTCCCCTGTGAAGGGGTCTCTGGCCAGTGCAATATCACAACTTCTAGGTAGGCTGTAAACCTGAGTGTTGAGAGATGGAGAAGAAAACACACAGCTCATGAAGGACTTCATGGCTCTCTAGGTAGGCAGAACAGAATTCACCCTCCCATCAGCATGTGTCCTGCACACAGGAATTGTTATGTCTGTGCTGTAAGCAAATACCTCTGCTAACCTCTCACTGAATCACTCACCTTGGAAGCTGGTCCTGATTTTCTGGTCGGAGACTTTCAGATGTCTCTTCCAGTCCAGGTTATCTTGTGATTTTAATGGCCTCCTGGAGCTGAGAAGCCCAGCTTAAGGCTGGACCCTCTGGCTATCCACTTTCTGGAGGGGGTTTCTGCCCAAATATTGCTGTATCTGCAAGCCCCAGTGCCCTACAAGCCTAATTTTAGCTCAGTGCTGCAGGCTGGCTTCTTGTCATGGGCCAGGAGAAGGTTAATGATCATCTGGGCAGCCCTCCAAAACCAATCTAATGTTTATTCAGGATAACAGCATTGCAGAGGAAACCAAGCATGACCACCTTCCACGTACAGCTCACCCATCACAGCCCTGCTCCTGCAGGTGGCTCTGCTGGAGCAGCTCACACTGGTCCTCTCTTGGAGGAGACCCTTCCCTAGGTCAGCTCAGGTCCCCATCAACATTTCCAACCCTGCTCTCTTAACCCAAACAGATGCTGTGTTTCTACAGAAAAGCAGTTTACCAGGCTGTGTTGTTTCAGAGTGTAAATACGTGCTCACCTTTTTATTTATTTATTTTTAATAGGACACTCCTCATGGGTCAGATACCCAGGCTACAAACAAATATCCATTTATTTGGATATTTGAGAGGTGGGTCAGTGGTCCCAGCCTGGTGGTGGTGGCCTGGATGTTGCAGGTCTGTGCTCCAGCTGGGTCTGGGATGGAAGTGAGAGGATGAAGGGCTGGTGAAGATTAACACATGAGGAGGCACAGGGATGTGAGACAGCAGTGACTGCACCCTCTGGCAGAGGGCAGAGTCCACACGATGGCTGTGTGCATTTATTCACCTCAGCTGCTCTTTAATGGCTTAATTTCAGCCATGAATTGCAGCCTTTTCTTCCCACCAGCACAGCCCCTGCAGTTATTCCATCATGCCTTTGACACAGTGTGAAAGGATGTGCAACAGATTCATGCCAACAATACCTGCACCGGTAGGCAGGTGAGTACTCTGCTTTCTTGGGGCTCTCCTTGGGCTCCTCAGGGCTCCATGAAGGCATTGGGTATAAACTGTAAAGCCTGAAAGCCTGAGATGTGCTGTGCTGGGGGGAAATTCTCTTCAGCAATAAGTACTCACAGACATACATAGCCCAGGAGAGTCCTTGATGCTTCCCTCGGGATGCAGGAAAAATTGTACTGATAGCAAAAAGAGTTTTCTGAGATGCTGGTACTGGCTTCAGCAGCAACAGTCCTGAAATATCTGGTTCTCACTGCCTTCCCAGGTGTGCTGGGAGGCATTGTGTGAACATCTATTTAGCAGTGTCTCTGGAGAACACTGGAAATGTGCTTCCTGCTACCTGAGATGGTCAGGGAGATGGCCACATGTGTTTGGAGCTGGTAATAATGCCTCATTTGATTATGTTTACAGCATGATTAAAAGGCTCCTAGACTCCTGAGCAGGTATCTTTACTATGCTAAATCTAAACAGAGCACAGATACCCCACTGTGGGCTTGGCTGGTTAAACATGGTGCCAGACAGTGCTTCTCTCAAGACTACCTGATTTCCCACAGAGGATACTCAGCTACAGGGATGAGGAACCACTGGGTTTCCTTTATAGTGCCAGCATGCCCAAAGCTCAACCAAACAGCCTTCTACCTAAAAGTGTGTGGCCAGATGCAGAGAAGCTTGTGAAAAATGGGCTGTGCACATGCTAGACTACAAAAGAAACTGTTTTTGTCTGGGCACATGCCAAAGTGATGGTGGAGAAGCAGCAGTAGGAGCTGCTGCAGCACACAGAGCCCTTGCTCACCATCCTGGCTGCCCCTCAGCCGGCTCTGTGGCCACTCCCTGGGCCTCTGTGTTTCCCTGCTTGTCCAGAAGATATGGAGAGTGGAGAGAAACTTTGGAGTCCAAGACAACAGAAGCAGGGAGCTGTGCCAGTGTTTGGATTGCCCGTCCTTTTCCCAAACATTTCCTGTGGAGGTTACCCGAGCCGAAAAAGCAAGTGAACCCAAAACACCTACCCTCTTTGGAGGATTGCAGTTTATTGTTAATAATCTACTGCTAAAGGGTAACATCTGTTTTGGACAAACTGTAATGAGATTTAAACCCCAGGTGGAGGGAGGACTTCACAGTAATAAATGACTTTCTGTATGTCTAAATAGTTTTAATTTTTTTTCTGGCAGAAATAGCTGCTTTTCACCTCAGGCTTCTTTTTGCCAGCTCTTTTTGTTTAATGATTGCTATTAATTTCCAGGGTGGCAGATGGATTCTAGGCTGGTGTAGTCTGAAATGAGGAAAAACAGCCTGTGAAGGTGCAGGCTTGCCATGAATGTGTGCACAGGTCACACACGCTGGTGTGATGCCATGTGTGGGAGTTTGCTTCCCAGGGGAACAATTGCTTCGAGGTACCTGCTAATCCCCACTGCAATGTTTGAGCACCTCTCACTCATAAAGGAAGGTAAATTAACATTTCTGGTCACTGCTCGTAGCTCTGCCTGTTTACACCTTTATTTAATAAAGCTGCTGATTTCAGCAAGGGTTCAAGAGGAATTCAGCACCAAGTGCTTTGCTAAATCCAAGCTGGAGTGAGCTGGAGAGCAGCACATGGTCCCCAGAACATGGAAAGGAGCTCCCTGCCCATGGCTGGATGCTGCCAGGTGAGGGGGATTCCTCCCTGGGCATGAAACAGGTATTTTTCAGTGCTTTTCCTGTGTTACTTGGATTTTTTTTTTTTTTAATAGTGTGGGATTTCCCAAAGAAACAAACATTCTCCATCCTCCAGCTGTGGTAGTAAATGTGTGATGTTGAACCCAGGACACCCTGCCAAGCTTGTAGTGCCCAAAGGAGGACTGACTTTATCCTCTCTGCTACCACCTCCTCCTCAAGAAGCCTACAGAACGAATCCCAGTTAGTGCTGCAGTGTGCTGGGGTGCCCTCCTTTGTCTTCCCCTCCTGTGGAGCATCTCTGCACTTGGCTCAGCAGGCAGGACACATGGGTAGCCAGGTGAGAAGCTGGATCTAGGAAGCAAGGCTGATGTTGGACCACCA